GAGTAATATATAAATATATGCAGTACGTCTTAACTCGCATTCTCTATAGTTAGCACATCCCGTAATAACTCGCATTTACTATAGTTAGCACACCACATAAGCAATGACGCAAACTTTTATTTGTAAGGTAGGTTATAGTCAAATCTCTAAATATCTTCTTGACTTCTTCTCCCAAAACATCTCTAAATATCTTTGTTTAATACATTTGCTGCCAAATATTTTTCAATATAAATTTCAACCTATATATCCACCGTGTGATTATAAATTATAATACAAATCTTCAACTCTTTCAAACATTAAATTACTTTTTACCTCAACTCAAACCGCAAAATATGAGGTTCCCTTTAGATTTCTTATAACTATTCTCATTTTATGCATTTATTTATTGCATGGACACCTTTTTGTGCACTTGCAGTGCTGTCATTCATGTTTTAATTATTTATTTATTTATTATCAATGGAAATTCACAATCATTATATATGATTCACTAGTAAATTACTCATTCGCACAGATAATTTTTTTTTATTATATATTTAGATAATAGAATTAAAGATAAAATTATAAATAATTTTAATATTTAAAAGTGTATATTTATTTGACTATATGATTAGTGCAAAAGTATCACCAATTAATTAAATAATATATGACCCAGTTATCTGCAATTATCTTGGGAAAATTGATATTGTAATATGATTTAGGAAATTATATTATTACTAAAATAAATATGAGAAAAGAGGGAAAATAATTTTAAAAAGGCATTAAGCTGTGAAAAAAATTGGAATTAAATCACCTAATTTAGAACTATTTTATTCCCATATATGATTTAGGTATTTTTTAATATAAAAATAAATATGTTTCAAAAGGAAAAAATTAGGCCGTAGTCTGGAATTAAAAATACTTGGAATCAAAACATTAGGAATTTCAATATTATTCTTGTAAATTTGTGTTGGAAAGTAAAAAATATAAGAAATTTAATAACAATTATAATATTAAAATATAATAATATAATAAGGTTAATTTTTTTTACACATTTTGAAAAACTTCTTTTTATACAATGTTTGTTGTTGAAGTTGTTTTGTTGCGTTTGTTCATTGAATAAAAATATTGAGAATATGAATAAGATAACAAAAAGAATGTAATAGAGAATGAATAAAATTGTAATGCTATCCCATTGTTTGATTTGATTGCAAAGTTAGATAAGGATTATATTCAAATATTTGATTTGTTAAAGAGTGGAAAATGAATATATAGTTAAATGACAAAAATACTCATACACAAAATGATAAATAAAATATAAATAAATAGTCAAGCACCTTTTGTTCAGATGACACCTCTGTGGCTCCCCTTGAGGAAGGTTATAGGATCGAATCCTCCTTGAGAAAGTATAGAACAGATACTATCTTGTACTAGAGTTAATAATATAATATTCAAAATAAATAAATAAATATAAATATTAGTCGAGTAGTTTGTAATTTAATGGTACCTTTGTGGCTCTCCTAAATGAAAGGTCTATATATTAAGTGGATGCGGATGATCTCCTCCCACCTTAAAGTGTCAATATATATATATATATATATATATATATATATATATATATATATATATATATATATATATATATATATATATATATATATATATATAGAGAGAGAGAGAGAGAGTTGAGTTAACATGAGCATAACAATATATGGAGGATTGTGAGGACAAATCATATCCATAAAATCCCAGAGATTTAATGGATGAGATCGTTCTACATAGCAGTATAATTCACGCCTAACATAATTAAAAGAGGGCAAATAAGAGATTTCAGAGCATGTTTAATTACAAAAGGAATGCAATCTCATTAAAACCACGCATCACATTAAAACTCTCATTTAATCAAAATAATCTCTCTTAATCTACACCACACATTATTACAATCCAATGCACCAAATTAGTTCTCACAGTCCTCTATAATATCCTTGTCCTCTATAATATATATATATATATATATATATATATATATATATATATATATATATATATATATATATATATATATATATATATATATATATATATATATATATATATATATATATATAGAATCGCACTCAGGTGCGAATGCTTTGCCCAGGCGCGAAATAGGAATGAATTCTGTTCGTCCACGTGTCCAGATCTAATGGATGAAAAACACTGATGTTTTAAAAAAACGCGGTGGCATTTTTGTAAATAATTGATCATCGAAGTGCAAGTAAAATGTATTACAAGTGCATGTAAAATGTATTATCGGTGCAAGTAAAAATTTACACTGAGCATCAATACTTAGTTGCACCTATAGTTCTAAGTAGTTGCACCTATAGTTCTAAGTAGTTGCACACATAGTTATAAGTAGTTGCACCTAGGTGTATGAATGTTTGCGAGTGGTTTTCAGGGGTATTACTACCCGCTGAACTCGGATCAATGAATGTTAACAAGGCAAAATTACATGCACTTATAGGTGAAAGTAGGTGCACCTATAGTTATAAGTAGTTGCACCTATAGTTATAAATAGTTGCACATATAGTTATAAGCACACCTAGTTGCATGAATGTTTGCGGAAAGTGAATGCTAACAAGGCAAAATTATATGCACTTATAGGTGAAAGTAGGTGCACCTATAGTTATAACTTATAAGTAGTTGCACCAATAGTTATAAATAGTTGCACATATAGTTATAAGCACACCCAGGTGCATGAATGTTTGCGGAAAGTGAATGCTAACAAGGCAAAATTACATGCACTTATAGGTGAAAGTAGGTGCACTTGTAAGTGATTTTACTTGCACTTCGATGTTCAATTATTTACGAAAATGCCACCGCGTTTTTTTTTAAAGTTATTAGATCTGGACACGTGTCGCGCGCTGATTCGTTCGCATTTCCCTCCTGAGCACTTATTCGCACCTGAGTGCATCCCTATATATATATATATATATATATATATATATATATATATTAACAATAAATAATTCTCATTTTTTTAAATTTATGTTAGGAAATAAACATTAAGCAATTTTTTATCCGGAAAATAATATTCTTTTTGTCATTTTGTTTGTATCATATATAGCTTATTATATTCAACTTTCTAAAGAATAATACTAGCTATTTACGCCTCCTAATTTTATTTACTAATTTTCACCTCCGAATGTGACGATATTTTATTTTTCATTCGTTGGCAACCATGAATCGCTAGATCTCACCCAACATTAGAAAAATGAATCTAGCTACTTATTAATAAAATATTAAAAAAATGTTCAATTAAATATTGTCACATAAAGAGATAAAAACAGTGCAAGAGGTGGATGAATAAGGATTGGAGCTTCAATAATATCAAACATGTCTATAGAGAGCATAATGAGGTAGCACCTTTGCGGTGAATCAGGAGGAACATTGGAAGATCCTTATCACGCCACCAAACAAAATTCAAAGAGCTCTATTTATTTGATTATAATATGACTTTCCGAGGATGCGTAAAGTTAATATAAGGTGCTAATGGTATATCACTGGAGCCTAAATAACAATCCTCACAATTCAAAAAGAGATTTAAAATGGAGAAAATTTCAATTTTGGTCCACTGACTATTGTACTTGTGTTAATTGCAACACTTGATTATAAAAAAATATTAATTTAGTACCTACTTGACTATGCAATTTCTATCAATTTTGGTCACTCCGGCCAAATTACCGGCGAATTGTCACCGGAGAAACTTAAGTCAACAAATATACTAAATTGGAAGGGACAAAATAGTCTTTTCCGATCCACTACCGCCTGAGACCTCAGCCAAACTCTTCTCTGATCCTCCTCTGATGTGAATCGCAGGAGAATAGTTCTCTGCCGTTGAATCCCCTTTAATGTTTAAAAAATTCATTTAATTCTATTCTTAAAATCATATTTTTGCCGTGAATTGATTTCCACGGTCTGTTTGTGCAACTGAAGCCTGCCAGCTGAGGAAGACCTGACGGTGGCGGGGAGGTTTTCGGCGAAGGTAATGTCGCTGGAAATCAGAAATTTTCCTGAATCATCGAGATGGTCATATTGATGATGCAATTGATGACTTGTTGCCTGATTGTGTCCGATTTCCCGAGATTTCTCCCCAGCGAAGAGATTTTTGTGCGCAATCTCGCACAAATGTCAGACTGGCAGATTTTGTTGAGGAGCGGCCAAATTTGGTTGGCGATCAGTAAATTAAAAATCCAACTGTGCTAATTGCAGCGCTGGATTGGAGTCGCCTGGTGGATTTAGAGCGGTTAACCTTGATAGGGCGATTTGCAGGGGAAAGGCCATCTCTGGATGTTCTGAGAGTGGAGATGCGAGCGGTGCTCGTCTGGAAGGGGAATTGCAGTGATTGGAGAGCCAGTATTGAGGACTCTTTGACCCCGGACAAGCCCTTCAGTTCCATCCATACCGATAGTCCACACCATATTCTCTCCCAAATGCTAGGCCACTTCCAGCACCAACCCTATCGGATTATCCATAACCTCCAGCGCCGTAACGATGGCGGCAAATCTTCATTGAATCTTACATCAACAACGGCACCAATAACCTGACAAACGATCCCAACAGAGCCGGCGCCGGTGATCTTACCGCCAGTCTTTTTGGTAGATGGCGATCCAAAAGGTCGATGTTCAGGCGCCTTCGCCGCCGGGGAGGTAGCTTTCCCAAATTAGAGTGAACATGAAATGTCGATTTTGCCCTCCCATTTAAGTTAAATTGTTGACTTAAATTTTTCGGTCATATTTGGCCAGTAATTTGGCCGGCGTGATCAAAATTGATAGAAATTACATAGTCAAGGTACTAAATTAACATTTTTGATAGTCAAGTGTTGCAATTAACACAAGTGCAATAGTCAGTGGACCAAAATTGAAATTTTTCTTAAAAAAAATAAAAGGTTGTGAAATTGAATGTAGCATTACAGCCATTACTTATGTTAAATAGCTTCATTGATCACATGCAGCCACATATTTTCCTATATAAACCTCAACCTATCCACATTGTGATCATATTACACCTACCTTCTAACTCTTTCAATCATTAAATTATTTTTTACCAAAATTCAAACCCAAAAATATGAGGTTCCGTTTATATTTTTTAAGCATTTTCATTTTATGCATTATTGCATGGACGCCTTTGTGTTCTTGCAATGATACCATTTTCAAATGCCTAAACCGCCATTCAAATCCATCTCACCCAATTTCTTCCGTCATTTACACCCCAAACAACTCTTCATATTCATCTGTTTTTCAAAAATATTTAAGAAACTTGAGGTTTAATAAATCTTATATCAGAAAACCTCTTTTTATTGTGGCAGCCACAAACATCTCACACATCCAATTGTCAATATTATGCGCCAAAGAGCATGACCTTCAAATGAAAATCCGAAGTGGGGGCCATGATTATGAGGGTTTGTCATATGTCTCAAATATGCCATTCTTTATCCTTGACATGTTCAATTTTCGATCCGTCAATGTTAGCATTGAGGATGAGACTGCTTGGGTTGAGCCTGGAGCCATCTTAGGGGAAGTTTACTATGCAATTGCAAATAAGAGCAATATTGTGCATGGCTTTCCAGCGGGTGTGTGCCCAACCGTTGGAGTGGGTGGCCATATTAGTGGCGGCGGATATGGAAATATGATGAGAAAATACGGTCTCACGGTGGATAACATCATTGATGCTAAATTGGTTGATGTTAACGGTCATCTTCTTGATCGAAAATCTATGGGGGAGGACTTGTTTTGGGCCATCACGGGTGCTGGCGCAAATTGAAGCATGTGCTCCATCTTAACTAAAAGCTTAAGCTGATAGTTGGATTGCACGTTAATGGCTATATGCTCACACGCCCCCTCACGTGTACGGTGGATTCCAACCAACACGTGGACCGGTAAACCGTTGTCGCTTATGAGTGACGTTGAGATTCGAACCCATGACCTTTGGTCTGGCTCTGATACCAGATGAGTTTAGGAACGAGTGTTTCATTCAATTACAGTAACAAACTGATAAGGTTACAAGATATACTACTAGTAAATAGATCCTACACAGATGACTAAGGACAAGGTCAATATAACAATTATTGACTTATACTAATAATATATAATATATGCTAATACTCCCCCTCAAGCACAAGGTTGTAACGGAATAACATTGAGCTTGGTACGTAGATCCCCGAAACGTTGCGCAGCTAGCGGTTTGGTGAAGATATCAGCCAGCTGGTCTTTCGTCGAGACAAAATTGACTTTAAAAACCCCGGAGGATACTTTATCACGTACAAAGTGATAATCCACCTCAACATGCTTGGTCCTTGCATGAAAAACTGGGTTAGCGCAGAGATAGGTGGCGCCTAGATTGTCACACCAGAGGGTGGCCGGAGTCTCTGAGTGTAACCGGAGCTCACGTAGTAGGGACACTACCCAGGTTACCTCTGCCGAGACGTCCGCAAGGCCTTTGTACTCGGCTTCAGTTGACGACCTGGCTACAGTGCGTTGCTTCCGAGATACCCAAGAAACAAGGTTGGTCCCGAGGAAAACTGCATAACCACTTGTAGACTTTCGATCAACCGGACAGCCTGCCCAATCCGAGTCTGAGAAAGCATGTATGTCGGAGGATGGTGAAGGAGATAGACGCAATCCAAGATCCAGCGTCCCTTTTACGTACCGTAGAACCCTTTTGAGAAGACCCCAGTGTTCATGTGTGGGTGCATGCATGAATTGGCAGAGTCTGTTCACGGCAAACGACAGGTCCGGTCTAGTGATGGTGAGATACTGCAGAGCACCAGCAAGCCGTCGATACTGAGTAGGGTTGTCATAGGGATCAGTCGAAGGTGTAACAGCTTGAGTTGTGGCGGCAGGAGTTGCGAGCGGTTTGCAGTCAGTCATGCCTGCTCGATTTAAAAGGTCCTTTATGTAACGACGCTGTGATAAGAGTATGCAGTCCCCTGCGGATATGGTTTCTATGCCAAGAAAGAAACCCGGTGTTCCAAGATCCCGAATCTTGAAAGTGGACGCCAGTCTTTGCAAGAGAGTGTCTACCAATGTGGAATCATTACCCATCATGATGATGTCATCCACATAGACAAGCAAGAAGACACGTGAATCCCCAGTGGAGTAGTGGAAGAGAGAAACATCCGTTTTGGATGCCACAAACCCTGCAGAGAGTAAGAAATCATGCAGACGGCGAAACCAGGCCCGTGGGGCCTGCTTTAGCCCATATAAGGATCTTTGTAAACAGCAGACATGTTCCGGATGGTCCGGATCTTCATAACCCGGGGGTTGACGCATGTATACTGTCTCAGCCAGATGGCCATTGAGAAAAGCGTTGTGGACATCCAGTTGCCGCATAGTCCAGGCCCGAGAGACTGCGAAAGAGAACAGAATGCGGACTGTAGTCGGCTTGACTACTGGGCTGAATGTTTCAAAAAAGTCTTCACCAGAAACTTGATTGAAACCCTTTGCAACAAGGCGTGCCTTGTAGCGTTCCACTGAGCCATCGGCCTTTCGCTTGGTGCGAAACACCCATTTGCACCCGATCACATTCATGTTGGGTGTCGGAGGGACCAGCCGCCACGTGTCATTGTGTAGCAAGGCGTTGAATTCTTGGTCCATGGCGTCACGCCATTGTGGATGACCAATAGCTTGCGTGTAACAGGTGGGATCCGGTGGATCAGTTGTTGCGGTTAAAGCTTGAAGTTGCTCACCGGTGCCTTTAGTCATGTGCCGCAACCGCATCACATGATCCCGTGGTCCCGGTGGTCTTTTTGGGGCCCTTTTTCTGGTGGCCCGAACTTGTGGTGGAGTTGTGGCGGTACAGCGCATCGGTGGTGCCGGGGGTGGTCCACCTGTAGTTCCTTGTATGACCGGACAAGAAGCCCATGGTTGGCTTTCTGCGACTGGTGGTGTTGTGTCCTGTACTGAAGAAGCAGTTGCAAAAGGAAACACATTTTCATCAAAGCGCACGTGGCGACAAATATAGGTCTTGCCCGTGTTTATGTCCATGCATCAGTAACCTCTAAAGGAAGCTGGGTACCCTAAGAAGACACACGGGGCTGAGCGTTACTCTATCTTGTGCCGATTGTATGGCCGTAGATAGGGAAAGCATAAGCACCCGAAGACACGTAGAAAGGTGTATGTAGGTGGTGTTTTATATAGACGGTAGTGGGGTGTATCAAACTGTAGGGCAGACGACGGAAGCCGATTGATTAGATATGTAGCTGTTTCAAAAGCGGAATCCCAATGTCGCATCATACAAAATAAAACTAGTACGCGTCCCGCCTAGAGTGACGGTCTTCAGAGTCACAAGAACCTACGACCAGAACGCTACCAACATCGTCTATCGCCACCAACACGTCTCCAGCAAGCTAGACAAGAACGTTTTCATCCGTCACTCACTTGGGGTTGCCAATAGCACGACACAGCATCCGGGAGATAAAACCATCATAAGCGCCACCTTCTTCGCCCTTTTCCTAGGAGACTCGAAAACACTTCTCTCCACCATGAATGAAAACTTCCCGGAGCTCGGGTTAACAAAGGATGAGTGCACAGAAATGACATGGATAGAATCAGTACTCTTCTACACACAATTCCCACCAGGAACCCCAAAGGAGGCCTTGCTCAATAGGTCCCCACAAGGAAATGAGTACACCAACACATACTTTAAGATAAAATCAGATTATCTTCAAACCCCAATGCCCAAGGACGGCATAGAGATCATATTCAATAAAATAGTGGAGTTCGAGAGAGTGACGTTGACGTTCAACCCATACGGTGGGAGGATGGCGGAGATTCCATCGACGGCGAAACCCTTTCCCCATCGATTGGGAAACATCGCTTTGATTCAGTACGCAATCTGGTGGAACAAAGAGGAGGATGAGAAGGCGGCGGGGCGCTACATAGAGTTGACAAGACAATTCTATGAATGTATGACTCCTTTTGTTTCGAGGAATCCTAGGAGGGCGTTTTTGAACTACAGAGACACAGATTTGGGAATCAACCACAATGGACCGGAAAGTTACTCAGAAGGAAAGGAGTATGGATTGAAGTATTACAATGAGAATTATGAGAGGTTGGTGAAGATAAAGAGCAAGGTTGATCCTCATAATTTCTTTAGGAATGAACAAAGCATTCCTACCCTCCCATCTCAGAGGAAATAATATAATGAAACTAACAAATCAGCCTGCCTGGCCTTTCCGATGGGTTCAAGTGTTTTTATACAACTTTTAGTTATAGTTTAATTGTTGTTTCTAATTAAAATAAGTCAAGAACCCATCATACTGTTATCCCTTCTCACTTAATTCTCACCTAATTTCAAAGGCCACAAAATTCCATTGTTTGATTGAAATGAATCGCAATTCTATGGAGTTGCAATTCCCCCATTTTCATGGAATTAAAATCTCATTCCCCCCTTGGGATTTTAATTACTGGGATTTTAAGAAGAAAAAAAAATAGTGATGAGTCAAATTTATCCCTTCCTTTTTTTAACTTAAAATTAATGTCTAACAACAACAATGGATATTTTTGACTTTATACTACTTATTCCTTTCAATTTCCATGTATACCAGACATTGGAATTGAAATTCTCAGTAATTCTATTCCTGTAAACCAAACACTAGAATTTAAATTCCCACTTTATTCCCAGTAATTCATCTCCCATGGAATTGTAATTCCTTTCCCACCTAATTCCCCCTCTCCAACCAAACTCCCTGTTAAAGTTTAGGAAAAAATTGCACTTTTCGTCCCTAACTTATAGGGTAATTGTATAATTCGTCCCTAAGTGTTGGCCATGCTCACTTTTCGTCCCTAACTTATAGGGTAATTGTATAATTCGTCCCTAAGTGTTGGCCATGCTCACTTTTCGTCCCTAAATTATCATTGTCATTGCACTTTTCGCCCCTGAGTGTTGGTCATGCTCACTTTTTCTCCCTAAGTTATCATTGGCGTTGCACTTTTAGTCCCTGAGTTATATTAAAATTACAAATTTCGTCCCTAATCACTACTACATAAACGGTATACTACGTCACTTAATAGACGGAGGTGTTTTAAATAACCACCGTCTAATATATTTTGTTATACTACGTCACTTAATATACGACAGTTTTTAAATAACCGACGTATATATCTTAATTAATTTTTTTTACGTCACTTAATAAACGACGGTTGTTTAAATAACCGCCGTATATAGTTGACATACACGGCGATTGTTTAACCGCAGTATATAATTGACATACACGGCGGTTTCTAAAACCACCGTAGAAAGTATATATTTACAACAATAGTCACTTACACGTGCAACACTTCGAAAACCGTCGTGTATGTTTAAAAAAAAACCGCCGTATGGTATTAGCTATGTCCTGTAGTAGTGAATGTTTTATTATTAAAGGGACGAAAAGTGCAACGCCAATGATAACTTAGGGACGAAAGGTGAGCATGACCAACACTCGGGGACGAATTTTACAATTACCCTATAACTTAGGAACGAAAAGTGTAATTTTTCCTAAAGTTTAATATTGTAATTGTTATTTCTAAAATAAATTAAGAACCCATCTTACCCTTATCCATATTAAAGTTTTAATGGTTTTCAATTGTCTTGCCCCAAAGGTTGAATTCTTAACCCCATATAAATCACCGTAACACTCCTGAGTTTTAAACCGTGGTTTCTTAATTCAAATATTACCTACTGAGCCAATAAGTTAAACTCAATTGTTATACGGTGGATCATGGTCCACACAGTTGTGTGGATCATGATTCGAAAACGGCGTCATTTGTTTAAGTAAAGAAATGGCAACCGTTATATTTTACAAATCCCGTATTTATGGTGTGTTCAGAACAAAATAAAACTACAATGTATCTACAATGAAATTGAGAAACTTAATTGTCTCGCATATTATGTTTATATTATCAAATGAAACTGTAATTTAATTTAATGATACTTTAGTTGTGTTGAAATGAAATTACAGTATGTATAAAATGAAACTGAATAACATGTCTCACATATTGAGTGTATATTGGCAAATGAAACTTTAGTTATATCAAAATGATATTTTAGTTGTGTTGTAATGAAACTACATACAATATATATAAAAAATGTAACTGAATAACATTTTATATATATATATATATATATATATATATATATATATATATATATATATATATATATATATATATATTTGAGTGAATATTGTCCAATGAAACCGTAGTTGAATTTGATTTATAATTTAGTGGTGTTATAATAAGACTACAGTGTATATAAAATGAAATTCAATAACAGGTCTCACTGTAATAATACTACTTTATGTATAATGTGAAATGAAACTGTAGTTGAAACAAAATGAAACTTTAGTTGTGCTGATGGAAATGAAACTACGATGTATCTAAAATAAAACTGGTTGGTTTCTAGACTTTTGAAAAGCCTACCGAGAGTCCAACACAATTGGAAAGTTGGTGAATCACCGAAAAATATGAAGAAATTGTGAGAACTGTTTTCCGAAAGATAGTGTGTAAGTGTATTAGGAAGAGCGCATCCAATATAGTGCACTAGAAGACTATTTATAGGTTCGAGTGGCAGGACTCGGACTAGAGCTTTTTCGCTAATTATGAATATTAAATGCCCTTTAATGGGATCTTAATTACTTTTCCATTTATTTTCCTTATCTACTGGCTTGCGACGGTCCTCCGTTTCCTCATTAAATGGTAGCCAACAGTCATCTTCAGGATTTTTCTTGTCTTGTTCACTCGGTGCCGACCCCTTATGACACTCGGACTCAGATAGCCCTCAGTCGAGCCTTTGGAAAGACTCGGCTATTCTCTGAGAGGAAAGAAAACCCTTCTTCCTCTTCGACAATAATCTCCGTCATCGACTGTCACCGGTGAGTCGATCATGGTGACCGTCTGATCTTTGAGGTCCATATCCCATCACACATAACTTAAGAAGTTTTTAATATAACAGAACGATACTCAACAGAGGGAATGAAATTAGAAGTAACGATGGTCATGGTTCAGTTTGAACTGAACTATCATTCAAATCAAATTGTGTACGGTCAGATCAAAATCGAGACCAAAATCATATCAACAACCCCAGTTCTAATATTCTCCCCTATTTTCTCTAAAATTCCACCTCTATTTCTGCACAGAACTCGGTCTAGGACATTATACATTCATTGGCAACAAACAACACGGTAGGGGTAACCCCAGCCCAAGATAGCAAGAAATCTACACTTGTGATCACAAAATTAGGAGTTCGAATTCTTGCCTTATTAATTTGAGTCGGTCAATTATGAGTAACTTAAGCTAATTTATTTCTTTTTGATCCTTTACCGGCTAGGGTTACAAGGCGTGGTTTCCTTAATAATCCAAAATAAATAAATAAAACACGGTAAATGCCTGCCATGGCATTGGATAACCACTGACATAGAATGTTCGTTCAAGCTCTTAACTGGGTATCAATATAACGTTGAGGCGTCAACAGAGCCTAGACCCCCCTGCAAGAATGCAGAGTCATATTATAGCAAAACATTAATTAGTAGAAAATCAAAGCTATGCCTTTAATAAGCACAGCCCTAGAGAAGGACATATATCAAAAGATCCAAATGTAATTTTTTTTTTTTTAATTTTTTGTGTAAACTTTATACACCTAAGCATACAGGATCTTCGGAACACAATGACTTTCATGTATAATGCGTTAATTAGTGTTTAATCAACATACCCATTCCATGTTTTTTCTATGTTGCTTGAACTAAAGATTTAGTTTCTCCCTCCAGACCTTTAGCATTTTCCTAATCTAAGAACTTTGATGGAGAGAGTTTTAGTTATGCGGAAGACAAGAGAGATGACTAGAGTCTGCGGTCAGAACTGATATTATCTCTTAATTGACCAATAATAAAATTAGAACATTATAAAATTTAAAATGAATATTTATCTTAATTGGGGAGCTTAAAATAATTAATTAATGAACAACATCAACTATTATTTCATTCTCTCACTTGGCTCATAAATCCTAAATCCTAAATTTAATAATAAAACGTAATATGCATAGTGTAAGCTAATTCCTTCGATGCATTAGTCAAACATAAGACATTATATTAAGTAAGAAACTAATAAGGATCATGGGGGCAATACATAACAATTTAACGTAGCCCCTTCCATGTATCACAATACTAACCTCAAGTTTAATAAGACTCATAGCGTTATCAACTATAATGGTCCAACGATAATATCTTTGTTAGAGACAAAACATGCTTATACTTAATTACATAAATCATTTATGTATATATACGCCAAATTTAAATATGATACATAATAACATAAACAAAATTATATTGAGCTCAGAATATCAAATATATCAAAACATAAAACTTAACAAAATGTTAATAATTCTCAATAATGTCTATCCTTTGACCTTTCGACATGCTCATTGATGTAACAATATAATGACAGTCTTATTCACACTTTTCCCAGAAATAGCTCCATCGGCCAAAAGAAACAAATAGCCAGATGTGGATTTTCTTGTGTCCAAACATTTGACAAAATCTAAATCTGTGTATCCTATCACCTTAAGGTGATCGGACCGCTTATAAGTGAGCATGTGACTCTTTGTGCCTTGTAAGTATCATAACACCTCTTTGCTGCTTTCCAGTGATCCATACAGTATTACTTTGATATCAACTGATAAGTGTCAAAAGGTGCTAGTTTCTAAGGTCATTTTGAAGGCATTTTGTGCATAGTTTGAGTCGTTTTGTGTATAATTTCCAAGTAATAAGCTAGGAAATGCAATTGTGCATTGCAAAACCTCCTAATCTATGCATTTTAGTATTTTTGATGAATTATGGACAAAAAGGGTGGCAAAGGAGCTCAAAATGGACACGTTTGGAAGAGCACGGGAAGGGGACCAGATCACGCCAGCATCACTCACGTGACCACGACGTGAATAGGTTCTAGAACCCAATCACGCCGGCGTCACTCGCATGACCACGACGTGAAAAAGTTCTTGAACCTAATCACGCCGGCATCACGCGCGTGACGATGGCGTGGATGGGGCTGTGGAAGCTTGGCACGATTTTCGTCTTTAAATAGTAGAAGTGCAGATATTTTAGGAGGTTAGATTCATTTTTAAGAGAAACACTTTTGCAACGATTCTCTCTTTAGATTTAGCTCTCAAACACTCTCAATTTTGTAAGAAGAAGAAGGACGCTTCCAAAGGAGTAACAACTTTGTGGTGGAGCTTTATTCTACTTCCAATTTATCATTGTAATCTAGACAATTGAG